GGGTCTGGGATAGGGGCTGAGACCTGGGTGCAGTTCACTCCGTGGTTTAGAGTGCAGGGAGGCAGGCTGAGACCTGGCCACCATTCAGTGCATGGCTCAGAAAGTGAGCTGAGACCTGGCCACAGCTCAGTGCATGGCCCAGAGGTGCCAGGGAGCAGGCTGCAGCCTCTCTGCAGCCCCGTGTATGATCTGTGGAGCCAGAGGTGGGCTGAGACCTGTCCACAGCTCAGTGCACAGTCTGGGCGGCTGGAGGGCAGGCTGAGACCCAGCAGAGCTCCGTGCAGGGGCAGAGGGGGCAGGTACTGCTCAGGGTGGTGCAGAGCAGTCACCAATCTGCTGCCCGAGCAGGAGAGGGGCTTTAACCCCACACACCCCTGCAGGCAGCAGGAGCTTTGCCTGCCTTGGTTTGTAGTCATTAATTCTTCATATTGGCACGGTCTGTTTGCTGCCTGGTGTTCATAACCTCATCCCTTTGGATGCTGTTCAGCTCTTGCCTCCCTGGCTTAGGTGTTGTGTAAATATGTGATCAAATGACCATCTCCAACCCCAAAACTGACCTTCCAGGGCACAGCTTGGGGTGGACCTGGTGCTGGGGGAAGGCAGCAGACTCGGTGGGCCTGTCCGTTGGACAGCCAGATGACCTGATTTGGTTGTTCTGCTGTGTAATCTGGAGCAGACTGCTGCTTTTCTCCCCTCTGTGCTGCTTTCTCCGGTTATAAGATACAGGTCTGACACTGAGGGCTGGTTGGAAATACAGGAAAGAAACAGATTCTTGTGTTTCTTGAGATGGCTTTTGCTTAATCTTGTTAGACCGATCTTGCTGTGTAAACTGCTTCTAAAGATGATGGGTGAAAATAGAGCAGATTTTTATTAGCTGCTTTGCAAAACGAAATCGCAAGGGGATGACAACAGTGAAGCTTGCTCTAGGCAAAAAGGGGGAAGAGGATGTTGGGGCCAGGCTAATTGGGGCCATACCTCTTAAGAATGGTATGAGTCTGGACTGAATATTACCCCTCCAAACAGGTTTTAGAGGAGGAGGAGGAGCCCGAGACTGGCTGGGACTAATTTACTCATTTCCCTCCCAAAGGCTGACCCAAAGACCTGTACCAAGGAGTTGCACAAGAGGAAGAGATAGAAACTGGAAGCTCTCTGAATGTGCTGCCCACAGACTTAAGGCTTCTTTGGAGACTCAAGATGACTTCCCACAAGAGATGCTCTCTGGAGGGGTTGTGCTGAAGACAGAGCACTGCAGCCTCTAACTGGGACAGCTCCTGCTGGTCTGGAGCTGAGAGCGACTTCTCTCCTTCCCTTTTCCCTTGGAGATGTTGCAGAGATTTAATCTGACCTCTTCCTCCTCGCCTGAAGCCTGCCGTGGCGATGATCCCACAGCCAGATCCGACCACCAAAGAGAAGAGAATTGTGTGTTTGAAGCTGGGCCATCGTTGTAACTGAACTGGAATTTACTCCCTGCTTGTGCTCCCGGAACGAGTGCCCTTTCTCTGCTTGTCTGTGTGTGTTTGGAGCCGCTCCTCCCTGGTCTTGTTTGGGATTCCTGGGCTTGCCACGCTGAATTTGCCCATGGCTTTCCTGATGAAAAAGAAGAAATTCAAGTTTCAGACAAGTTTCACTCTAGAAGAGCTGACTGCTGTCCCCTTCGTCAATGGGGTTCTGTTCTGCAAAATCAGGCTGCTAGATGGAGGAGACTTTGCTAGCTTATCCACCAGGTAAGAAGCTGCTTGTACGCTTGCTTCCTGGCTGTCCTCCTTCCCCTGGTTATCCTTCACTTGAGTGCTTTAGCATATGGCTACCACTTGCCTACCCCTTGATGGGATTTTAATAGTTGTGTTGTAGGGCCCCACATGCCACATCGTTCTCACAGTACATAGCTGGAGAGCTCTGAACCTGGGTGGTGTTGGCTGATCAGAGCTGGATTGCATTCTTCAGGGACATGGGGAGGGAGCAGGAGGTTTCTCCCCTCAAAGGGACTGGGGCTTTTTTTGGATGAAATCCTATCTTCCCCCCTGTCCTTGCCCGAGTTCTCACACTCTATTTCAGACCCTGTGCTATATGGCTTTCATGCCTGACTTGAAACTCAACTCTGTAGAAAACTGTATCTACGCAAATCAGCCCATCCCAACCCTGCTTTTTCCCCCTTTGATTCTGAATTTCTCTTCTTGGTAAGAGTAGAAGTAGCTTGCTTTGCATTACAAATTGCTGTGCAAGGGAAAACTGCTGCCTGGGGTCAAAGTTGTCAGTGTTAAAGACACAGTTTTACCTCCCTGAACTGATGCCATTGCATCTCCCAAGTTTAGAGCTGTGCTGTTTTCTTTATGTGATCTGTCATATTGGGTTCCTTCTGCTGCACATCTTACTAGGTTGTTCTTCCATCAGGTATTGGCATTTCTCTCACTCCTTCAGGCAGGTCTGTCCCCCCTCCTGCTACTAATTGCTAATAAAAACTTGTTTTGTTTCCAGCTATGCACATAGATTAGCACCAGCAGTATGCAAACAGGAATTCCAGAACAGCCCAGACTTGCTTGCTTTCTGCCTCAAGATGTGAAGGAAGCCTTCAGTGGCTTTCAAAACTTGTTTTTTTGCTTTTCTGAGTGACTGCTCAGTTTTAAAGGAACAGGATTAGTTTGTGCTAGCTGTTAACTGCTTTATCCCTGAGCTAAAGCCTGGTTTGGTCTGGTTTTCCTCTTTGTGGTGCTGCAAACAGAGCTTTCTCATTTCAGGAGATGTTTTTATTGTACAAGCCTAAAACATTTGTGTCTTGCAAATTGAAGTGGTGGGGCATTGCTCAAAGCTTGGTTTTGATTCCAGAGGCACAGAGCAACCTCATCTGAAGCTGTGGGCGTGGAACACCTCCAAAAATGGACTTTGAATTAATTTCTCTTTTGAAGAAAATCTGTCAAAAGAGCTTTTCCTTACAGTGTTCTCCCCTGAGGCTAGATCCCTGCCTTTGGTGGAAGCAGCTTATCTAAGGAATTCAAACAGTATGTGAACTTGGAAAGAAATTAACCCCTCTGCTTCCTGGAGCCGTAATAAACTGAGTTGGACTGGAGGGTGTCTCGGGGAAAAGCCTGTGCTGAGAAATGTCCATCTCCTTCTCCTTGTCGTCCCTAAAAGCAGCTTCTAGGAGCCATCAGTGGGGTTTGCTGCTGCTGCCAGGGTTGGGTTGTCTGTGGGCTGGCTGGAGTTCAGCAGTTCACTCAGCACGGTGTGTTGCAGATGTGTTCCAGCACTGAAACTGTCTGTAATTCAAACCAAACACATACATTGCTCTCAACTGCCTTGATTGCTTCTAAACGCGCAAAGGGGAAGTAGGCTGTTGGGTTTGCTGCCTTTCCCCTAACCTGTCTGTACTCTAACTGAAAGCACATGGAAACCTGTTCCTGCCTGAAGAGTTACAGGTCTCAGTGGTATTGACTCATTTGACCTCTTCCAAATATTTTCCCCTGTTGCAGTTAGAGAAACTTCAGGAGGGATGAACTTCCAGGAATGGTGAGGAGACGAGTTACCGTGTGGAGAGGCTCCCAGATGATGTCTTGGCTCTGCCTTGTGCTCGTCTGGTCATTTCCATGACCTTTCTGATACTCTTTGGATCTGGGAAAGGATTAAAGAGATGCTTTGTCTATGTTGTGTTAGAAGTCTCTACATTATTTAGGACCTGTGATTGTTTCTCTGAAATCAATCATTTCCAGAAACGATTGTGTTTGAGGTTGTGTAATGCCTTTCAGGTCAGATTTTTTTTAGGTTATTTACAATAGTGCAGGTCTGTGGTGAGAGGTGGGGATCTGATACATTCAATATGTTGCTGGGAGGCACCAGGTTGATTTGACCTGTGGACAGGTAAGTGGGAGGCTGTGTACTGCCAGCTCCTGTGAGCCCTTCCCAGTCCCAAGTCCACTGCAGCTTGGGTTGCACATACCTGCTGCAGCCGCGTGCTGTGGGGCAGGACTCTGAGCTGCTTACACCTCCTCTGCCCAGGCTGGGACAAAGCAGCCTGGCTACAGGAGAACCTGCCTGAAATGCATTAAGACTTAACGCTCTTAAGAATTTGAGGCACTCTGGAAAAGGTCCAGGTCCTCTCAGCACATTCAGCTTTGGGGTTTTCTGGTTTGGTTCCCTTTTTTCTTGCAGGCTGGGTACCCTTTTTGCCCTCACTTGCTGTGTTCAGGCCTTGCATTAAACCATTGGTATTTTAGTGACTGAAGCTGCAGCTGTAAATAACCTTTTGCTTGTCCTTTTCCCTCTCTTTGTAAAGTCTCCTTACGCTCAAGTGGGGCTTCTTGGGATAAGACCTGATTCAGTTTACAGTACTCTGTGTGAAAAGCAGCTATTGTCTGTGATTTTATCACCCTGCTGTTGGATTACAGAAGTTGGTCTCCTGAAAATGCATCTGAGCCAGGTATAGGCCAGGCAGGTGCTGTATTTTCCCAATATATTCCTTGAATAACATTAATCTAGATACTGAAATAGCACAACCAACCGCCAGTGAATTCAGTTGCCTCCCAAGTAGCTTTAAAAATAGCAGGCATGGAGCAGCAGGGATGTATTCATGGCAACCGTTTTTGTGAAGCAGATGGGCTGCTTCGTGTTGGACCAGTTTGAAGCTTTTTTGGGTGGGGGGTGTGTGTGTCTTTTGTTCCTAGAGAGATGTTATGAGAAGCTCACCGGGAGGCTTCAGATCCATGGCTCAGTGCAGGCAGGATCCTGGATATCCAAATAAGAGCCTAAAGCTACAGGCTGTTGTAGTACGTACATGTACATCTTTGGGTATAACAGAAGAGGAAGACTTGATTAACTTCCCTCCCCTTCTGCTCATGGTGTCAGATAATGCTGAGTGACAGCCAGGTGCTCTTTACCTCAGCACTGATTGATTTCTGGCTGCGTGCTGGCAGCGAGCGCTGCTGGTGCGTGATGTGAAGGCAGTGGAAAGCCAGGTGTTATCCACAGACTCCTGACACTTCATCCTACATTGTTCTGTTATTGTGCCAACAGCTTCACTCTGGTATTCCTGGATTTGAAGGAAGGGATTGTACTCTGAAAGCCCCTGGCTGGCTGGAGAGGAAAGACTGTTTCGCATGAGTTGAGTGACTTTAAGGGCATTTCCCACCTTCCTCATTCTTCTAAAGGCACCTCAGACTGTATTTCCGTTGGGACCGTGCTTTTCCCAGTGCATGTGGCATTTCATCTTGGTTTTCTCATCCTGGCACTCCTGTACCAGTCTGAACCAAAGAATTAGCTTGTCTCCTGCAGCCTAGCAGCTGTGTGCATGCAGGCTCGACCTGGGAAGGGCTGACCCTCTTAGGGTGGTCTAGCCTTGAAGTATTTGGGTGCTGGAGCCTAAACAGAATATTCTAAGCCTTCACATTTTTAATTAAGTGTGAAAGACCACTTCCTGCACTGCCTTTTTCCTTTTTATTGGTGTCAAGCTGCATCCAGAGAGCCAAAGGAAATGCTGGTATTTGGGGAGGCACCTCACACTGATAGCTCCTTGTGACTGAGGTCAGCTTTTGCGTAAGTGTGGCTTTTTAGGTGCAGACCTAAAGCTACTTGCTTTCCTCTGCTGGCAGGATGCAAAGCATCATTGCTGGTATACACAACTGTTTCATTTCTGTAGGACGTAAATAAAAGGGGAGAAGCATTGCCCTGCTAACACACAGCTGGTGATTCAGGAACCTTTGTGGAGAGAGGTGCAAGCCATACCACCTCCAAACTGTGGCTCTCTGGTGAGAGTTAGAAATCAGCTAATTCACTGCCTTTACATAAATAGTCACTGTGTCAGGTGTTACAGGATCCTTCAGGTTCACCATGGTTGTCTCTTTCAGACTGGAAAATCGTGAACTGTTTGGTTAATCGGAGACTAAAGGACTGATTCAGCCCAGTTGCGATCTAAATCTTCACCACCATCTGCCTTAAAACAAAGGTTAGGTAACTAAATAGTTTCTTCTAGAGTCAGCATCCCCAAGAGGGAAGAAAACTAGCTGTAGTGAAAGGAGAGGATTGCTGGCTGAATTCTGTCTTGGTTTGAGTGGGATTGCCAGAGGAAGAAATGGATGTGGCTCTAACCATCCTCCCAGTTCCATATTTTAGGACATCATGTGCTTAGCTCTATCCTCTGCTAGAGCACTTGGCGTGATAACATATTTTAAAAATGCTTTTGTTGCAAATGTGTCTGAAAACATAGACTTTCCCTATGTATACATCTATTCTTAATAAACAGATCAAGAGAGTGAGTTTTAATGATCTGGAGCAGCTTCACGTGCCAACATCCTTCTTTCCTGGCTGCAGCCGCAGGAGTGGGCTGGGGGTGGTAATGGAGAAGGCGTTTGAATGCAGCTTCTGAAACAATGTGCAGTAAAACATGACCTATTTCCAGATAATATTAAGGCATAGGATCTGCACTGCCTGCATTCAGAGCCAAATATAGAGAAACTAGACAGCAAAAATGAGAAAAGGGGTTTCATCCCAGCAGTGTAGCTGAACACAGGTGACAGGCATGAGAGCAGAAGCAGTGGATGAGGTTTAACCTCTGGCAAGTTGGAAAAAGTGCAGAAGTGATACAGCACTGCAGGGTCCTCAGCACAATCTTAAGCTGCACTTTGAGTGTGCAGAGCATTTCTGTTGCCTCTTCTGCTGCTTCACCTGCAGGGTCCGAGCGCAGCAGCTTTGGGCTGGGTTGATTTGCTTTGTGCCAGACTTGCCTCTTCCTGTCACC